GATTCCTCCCTTGCATGCATATTATGTGACAAGGTCTGGAGTTAAGTGTTCCTAGCACAGCATAAGCTGCGCTATTTGTTTGGAGGCTGTGCGCAAAGGCTGTGAAGGTGAGATCCCCTGCAGCAATATTCCCTCACAAGGAGTCCCCTGCAGCAGAAATCCCTCACTCTTCAATATAAAAGAAGGGCCTCTCCCACCAGAAAGTCCCTTCTCCCCATCAGCCTACAGAAGTCTTGCAGAGCAGTAAGTTGGTCCTGAGCTACTGGAAGTGTTCCAGAGTGTCAGTAAAGTGAAGAGTTGGAATAGTGATAGTTAGTTAGTGAGTGAAGTTAGTACATCAACCTACAGAAGTAAGTTGGTCATAGTTAGTTAGTAAGTTAAGTAGTGAGTTAGTTAGTGATACATAGCAAGTTATAACAGTATATTGAGTAAGAAATCAACACAGAGTTTGGAATTTGAAGCATATTAGTATTAGTAGTCAGCATATAAGTAGTAGCACATTAACAATTAACCAATAACTGGAATTTGAAGCATATTAGTATTAGTAGTCAGCATATAAGTAGTAGCACATTAACAATTAACCAATAACAAGTAGTAGTAGTATTAGTACCGGAGCTCTAGTTTTTGATTAAAGTGCCTTAACAAGAAATTGTTCGAGGAAGAGATCATTAACAAACTCTAGAACAACTCATCTGTTTCGTGATCAAGTCATCAGCACCACAGTTTCCATTATTAACTGAAGTTGTAACAGATTCATTAGTAGATTGATATGTGATCTAGGTCTGATAGAGATTACTTTACAAAAGTAAGATCTACCTTGGAATCAGCCATACATTATTAAATATTGATTACAAGACTCTTAGTTATTTGTTTAGTACATTTGTCTTTCAAACCACCCAATAGTTGTAATAGCCTTTCAACCTATTTGCAATTTATTTCCCCCTCAAGGGATCTTTTGATATACATATACTTTACCGTGTCTATCCGTCCCAGGAGTCCTACACCGCTGGCGGGTATCCGCTCCAGGGGATAACTGATATCCGCAACCATCTCTATACTGAACCAGATGAGAGTTCAATGTGGTTCCCTTTCAAGAACAAGATGGTGATTTTTCATTCATTTTTAGAACAAAAGATAAAGCAAATAGCAAAGGAACATTTCACACTGACCAAAATTATCTTTGTCCAAATTCAGGAGCTTGTTGGGTCAATCTTGATGGGGCACACCCATTCACTGATGTTGCGTGCAATGTATAATACAGCCAGAACTGCATTGTTGATCTGTCCAATCCTCCTTCCAGCCTGGTCCACCATCCGCAGCGCATGAGCCCGTATTCAAAATTTCCTCAAGAGTGATCTGAAGTTTGAGAAGAGTCCCTTTGGAACACCCTGTTATTCCCTCAGTGTCAAGGCTATTCTATCCCAGGTAAGACTAAAAGCAAAACAAAAAAACCTTTTTATCATTTACCCATCATCATCATTCTTTGGTAAAAATTGACAATCCTTTCTTTCCTCTGGCCAACCCTTTAGTGAGACCACATCTTGAGTTTTATCCAGAATTGGCCAAGCAAGGCCACTTCAAACTTTCACAATCCAAGAAATGGCTTGAGGATTTGGCGCCAGAACATTGTGCTCCAATGTGTGAAGTGGATGAGGAACATTACTATCTCTTTGAACCAGTGTAATTGATATCTGGCTTAATTTTAATCCCAATTTACTTTTATTCACAAGATTCCCAACTCTATTCCAAATGCATTGCACCAGATTTTGGCAGCATGACTCAAGATAAAAAGTTTTTAATTGACATTACAATACCTCAAGATATTCAGTTTGATCATCCAAATTTTTTTACCATCCCTACCAATCAATTAAAGAAAAGCTACCTCAAAATTGAAATGAATGGATTGAAACTCTCTGAAAATTGTGGTGATGCACTTTCTGGTATTTCATTCTGATTTTATTTCTTCATATATTTAAGACAACACACATTAGCTTGAATTGCTGATTGGTCATCCTTCAATTTTTATAGAATATGATAGCGAAAAAAGGAGAAGAAGACTAAATTGCCCAATCCTTGGCATAAAAAGGCAGATGGAAAAATTATTCGACACATTCCAATTCCTTATATTCTGATGAAACCTCCAGAAATGTCTCAAAGAAATTCAACAAACACATCTCCTTTTATTTTACCCTTTCTGGTCTTCCACCACACATCTCCAATCAGAAGTTCAACTGTCAATTCTTATCCACCTCAAATAGAGCTAATGTGTTGGAAATTTTGCAGCCAATAGTTAATGAAATGAAGTAAGCTTTCTCAATACCCAACTTTATCCAGTTTCCCACTTTCACTAAACTTTTATCTCCATTTTCTCTTTTTTTCACTAATTTTTTTTCTTCTTTTTTCAATCATATTTTATTTTATTTATAGTAGGGGGTATCAAATATAACCAAATCCACCATTATTTGATTGACTGGTTTGCAAAAATCCACCTTTTTTTAAACATGTTGGTTGTTCATTTAAACCCTTTTGGGGCCCCTTTATGCAAAAAAACCTTTTTGGAAAAGTGACTGGTTTCTGATGGTGGATTTCTTATATTTGATACCCCCTAGTGAAATCACAAAAACTGGTTTCAATGCATTTGACTCAACTATCATGAAGGAGGTCCTGGTCACTGGAATTTTCTTATGCTTTTTGGGTGACTCCCCAATGCACACTGAGATCACAAACACACCAAATCCCGGCACTTTATTAAATCCTTGCCAAATG